CTGTACTCACAATGCTTTCCACTAGTTCAGGAGGCTTCTGCTATGTCCCGTAGTAGCTATGGTGGGTCCTTCCCTTGTTAAGTTCAGAGTACAGCATTAGTTATAGGATTGGAACCACTGAGGCATACATACACACCCTGTTGTCTGCCAAAAAGCTCCATGTGACCGGTAGAAATATATGATAATGTAGACAGTCTGTCTGCCAAAAAGCTCCATGTGACCGGTAGAAGTATATGATAATGTAGACAGTTTGTAGGGACATGGTGGCGCTGTGAGCTAAGCTGCAGAAGCCTTTGTGTGCTGCAGGGTCAGAAGACCAGTAGTCGTAAGATCAAATCCACGCGATGGAGTGAGCTCCCGTCACTTTGTCCCAGCTCCTCACCAACCTAGCAATTCAAAAGCATGCAAATGCGAGTAGATAAATAGGTACCACCATGGTCGGAAGGTAAAATGGCGTTCCCTAGTCATGCTGGCCACGTGGCAATGGAAACTGTCTTCAGACAAGTGCTGGCTCTACGGCTTGGAAACGGGGATGAGCACCACCCCTTAGAGTCAGACATGACTGACTAAAATGTCAAGGGGAACCTTTACCTTTACCTAGACAGATCGTATGAAACACACAAGATAGGCAGTCAGGGGCAGTGGGCTATGTGGTATCTGGGCCGGACTAATGAATACAAGCACACCTGTCTCATATTTTTAATGTACACATGGAGGGCACTCGTGCAAAAAGCTCTGGTCTCCAGCCATTTAGGACTGTAAAGTAACTAATAGCTCTTGATGTGTCCCCAGAAATGACTCGTTGATCAGCAAATCTTATACAAGATTGGCACAGTATGATTCAAACGCTTGGCGTCCAAACAGAACCTTGGCAACCACATTCCATTTTCCTTTTTATCTCAAAGTAATTCTTTAAGAAACCTCACTGGTTTCGTTGTTTTGATTTTCTTTAAAGTTCCTTCTAAACTCTGTACAGCTTAGTTTCCAGTTTTACAGATGATCCTCAAATACAAAAATATTTAGATTGCAATCTTATACCCATTTAAGCCTAATTAAAATCAGTGAGACCTGCTTGAGCAGATGCATAAAGCGTATTAAGGAGTGCCAAAACTGCGTGATGTTCCAATCCCTCAGGACAACTTAGTGGCAAAATTTTAGAATGTTTCTACAAATGACAGAGAGCTTCACATGATGCAGCTAATCACCCCACCAGTATTTTCAGAGGATAAGTTCCTGGTAGATTCTGTCTATGGATTCAGTGATTTGTAGGGAACATTATATTATAGCGCATGGATTCAAGGGGCTCACAAAGTGTTTTCTGGGGGGTCGCCATGATTTTTGGAGGGACACATCACCCTCAACTTGTGCCCTCTTCCCCAATTTCCTTCTCCACGAAGCCCACCCTTCCTTTGATTGTACTTCCCCCCCCCCCATCCAAGCTCTCTTTTGGCTCCCTGCTCTGGGATTCTTGGTGCCTGGGCTCCCAAACTTCACTCTCTTCCTTGCTGGCTGTGGATGCTCCTCTTCAGCTTGGGTGGCTGGTTGCCTGGCTGGGTACCTCCCTGCCTGCCTGGCTCAGGCGGGGGACCAGGATGGGAAAGAGTGGGAGGCAGGACCCAGCTGCAACCCCTGCAAGCCAGGCTGGCCATAGCGGGCTTTGAGAGGTAAGGAGGCAGAGGCAGGCTGAAAGGGGAGTGAGGGAAGAGGTGGTGGAGGAGGAAAAGGCAATTGCTGAAGTAATTCCTCTCCTCTCCTCACCTCAGGATGACTGAGAAGGACTGAGCTTGACAGTTCCCTTCCTGAGGGAAAACTTGCCCCATCCCAGTAAATCCCAATTTTAACCCATCCTTGTTATCTCCACCTCCCAGAACCTGTTAAAGGACTGTTGGGGAGAGGGAGCAAATGGCTTTAACAAACACCCAGCTGCAAATTTGAAACTTCTTGCCCAGAAGCAACTACAACTGTTGCATTAAATATTAGGTAAGAATTATATTCTGAAAAATCTAATTTTAATGTGTTTCCTTTACTCCATTAAAATGCCTCTTTATGCAAGTGTTTTGGGGGCAGGTGTCACAGGTTACTTGGCTATTATAAAAGGGGGTCGTGACTTTAAAAAAAGTTGGGAAACACTGTTATAGCATCAAAGAATATTTTGGTATACTTTTCTACCAGACTTCAAAATGTGCAGATATTTATTGTAATGATTGTGCTTACTTTGATGCTTAGGATGGGGCTTAAAAGATCCCAGTTGGTATTCACATAGAGCACTATTTATTTATTTATTTATTTATTTCATTTATATACTGCCTCATTAGTGCAATGCACTATTCTCAGTAGTTCACAACATAATAAAATAAAATCAAAACATGACAAAGGCTATGATAAAAGCAGAGAATAATTAACTAACAAAATTAAGCAACTTCAAATCACAGTGCAAAATGTACATATTAAAAGCAGCTGGGCACAAGGCAAAGAAAAATTCAGATGAGGTTGCATCAAATGCAGCATCTTCAGTAACCTCAGTGGGGTCAGGCACAGTACAACCATGAGCTGGTTCCACTGGGCTAGTTCAACTGCCAAGAAGACCCAGCATGTCATTGATGGTTTTCTGCCCTCCATTGGGGTGTCCACCCAGACGAGTATTGCCTGGGAGGATCTGGTGATGTGAGTGGATAATCTTGGGAAAAGGCACTCCAAGAAGTAATGGGGTCCCAAACTGTCGAGGGCTTTCTAGGTAAGAATCATAACCTGGAACTTGACCCAGGATGTCACAGGTAGCCAGAGCAGGTGAACCAGGACTGAGGACATGTGATTGAATTTTCTGGAGACCATCCGGAGAGGTTCTCCTTCTAAGTAGGGGCAGAGCTGGAGACCAGTCCTAACTAATTAAAGGTCAACCTCAAGGTTCCCTCTAAGCTAGCTCTTCTCTCTCTCTCTCTCTCTCTCTCTCTCTCTCTCTCTCTGTGTGTGTGTGTGTGTGTGTGTGTACGCATGCATGCTTCTCCATCTCCTTGCACGCAGGTGTCTTCCTTCTCCACACACAATGGTTGCATTGGGTTCCAGTCGTGACAGGACCCTGCATGCAGGGGTGGAGTCACACACACATGCAGGGCCGAAGTCATGGGTGCTAAAGGCAAAGGGCCATCCAGCAGGGCTGAAAATTAGAGGGTATGTTAGCCAACCTGGACATGGCTGCAATCTGGGAATCCCAACAGAGAGACAGGTCCAGGAGCACATCCAGACTTGGTTCCAGACTTGGTCCCTAAGCAGGAGGTCTACACCATCAAGCCCAGGCAGAATGCCCACAAGCTTTTCAGAGGGACTTCCAGGAGAAGGATCTTGTCCAGGTTCAGCTTGAGCCTGCTAGCCCTAGTCCATGCCTGAACCAAAGCCAGGCACCACTCCAGTATCTGGACAGCATCCACTGCAAAGGTTGAGAAGGAGATATAGAGTTGCTTAACATCAGCGTACTGATAACAACACAATTCATATCTCTTGACTACCTCCCCAAACATCTTGGCATAGGTGTTAAAGAGCACTGGGAAGACTGACAACCCCTGGGCACCCCACGACTGAGGGCCCAAGGGGCTGATGTCTCATCCCCAAACTGCACTCTCTGGACACAGCCTCCATGGAAGGACTGGAGCCAGCTAAGTCCCACCTAAAAGAGCTTATCCATGAGGGTACTGTGATGGATGATATCAAAAGCTGCTGAAAGATCCAGGAACACCAACAGGGTGTGTTCTCCCCTGTCAGCCTCCCTTAAATGATCATCATGCAGCACAACCAGCGCTGTCTCGGTACCACACTACAGCCTGAATCTGAACGGGAAAGGATCAAGGCAGTTCTCCTCTGTCAAGTAGGTCTGGACCTGCTCTGTCACTACCTGATTGCTCACCTTGGCCATGAAGGGTATGTTGGCAATTGGCCTAAAGATGCCAAATTAGGTCCTTTAAGAATGGAGTGGATAATGGTTTTCCTTCGCATGTGGGGGAAGGCACCACTCTTTCAGGAAAGCATTAACAATGTTCACAACCTAATCTACAGTAACACCATTGGCTGCTTTTAGAAGCCAAGCAGGGCAAGGGTCAAGTATGGCTGTTCCTGGGAAAGGATAACAACTAACAGTCACTGTTTTTATATGCTGTCAAGTCACTTTAAATCTATGGTGACTATATGAATTAAATTTCTGACCTTTAGATGGTCTTAAAATTAATAGTCCTGTTCAAGCCTTGCAAACTAAAGGCCCTGGTTTCCTTTATGGAGTTTATCCATCTCAAGTTGCATCTTCCTCCTTTCCTGCTGCCTTCAACTTTGCCTAGCATTATTGCCTTTTCTATGAGAAGAGATCATCTTACCTTCTCATGTTCTGTCCAAAGTACGATCACACCTGTTAGTTATTTTAGCTACTAATGAGTCATTACTGGTAATATAATTAACATCCACAATTACATGCAGCTGATTTACATGATTCGTGGTCTTGCCAGCAAGAACTGCTGCTCTAGTGGAAGGGCAATAAATGATCTGAACATGCCTCAAATGAGCTGTTAAAATCTTCACCCTGGGATGCTGATTGTCAATGCTCCACCATCCTTTGAAACAGTCGTCAATAGGGGAAGACTTGCTAATTGCGCGTGGGTGTCTCTAAGGCTGCAAAACACCACCCCCGAACTGGCAGCCCGAGTTTTGCTTTTCATTAACATTTCTCTATTATTGGGCTGTCGAGAGACATTGAAAGAGGCTTGCGGCGAGGGAGAGCCCTCCGTGATGCACGGAGCGCTTTCCTGCAATGCCTTCACTAGAGGTTTCTCCCTAGAGGTGGGGGGAGGAGGAGGAGAACTGGTGAAGTTGAAGGGGGTGGTGGTGGGGGTGTTGCTGGCTGGTTTGCTGTGGAATTGGGGAAGCGGCTCCACTGGTTCTGGCAGCGAGGGGGTTGATTGACTGACAGTCTGCAGTGCAGTGGAGTTAGCTGGGCTCCCTATATGGCAATGGATTAGCTATATGCTAATACAGATCGGGGGAAAAGGAGCTGTCTTGAAGCCCAGCGAGCTGCCGCCAGGGAAGACCCTCCGAGGCTCAACGACGAATTCCCTCTCACGGAGCCATGGCTGAAGGGGCGGACGGAGGGGAGGACGAGATACAGTTCCTACGAACTGTAAGTATCGGTTTTTCTAGGTCAGCCAGCAAGATCTTTTTCCCTTTTGTCTCCTTGCTTGTTCCTGCTGTACGATCGCATCTCCTCCATTCGGAGGGAAAGAGAGGCATCGGCTCCCCCCCCCTCTTCCTCTGAGCTCGCGTTCGGTTGCCCAGGAACGACGTTTGTTTGGGGAAGGGGGCGAATAACGCAAGGCTCCTTCTCTGCCCCTGGAAGGGGTTCGCTTCGGGCCGCCTCTCTCGAAACGGGTGTCATCATCGCTCTCTTGGCCGGGCAGCCCTGGTGGATCGGGAGCATCCTTGGGGCAACTTTGCGTTGGGGTTTTTTAAATGCTGCAGGGCAGCTACCTGGCCTCTGAAACTTTGCTGTAGGTTACCGTCCCTCGACGGTTAAGAGAAGGTGTGCAGGTATAACAGGGGGAAGGTTGCGAAGCCGCCTGGAAAGAGGGTCGTTGAGTGACATCTCTGCATTTACCCCCCACCCCCCGCAGCCGCCTTCATTCCAGACCCACAGCCCAAGACGAGTCCACATGGCCAGATGTGCTCCAGAAGTAAACCAGTCAATGTCCTTTGATGAGCGTCAACAATTGAGCATACTTAAAAATGGGTGCAGAGGTTTCTCGGGACAAAGCTGTTGATTAGGAGATGGGGGTGATGGGTGGAATCCTGCATCTCTCTTAGTGCCTCATAACAAGCTTTCACACCGTTCCTCTATAAGGTTTGATCTCAACTGGCATGATGACCCTTTCTGCTTTTGGACTGAATCCGACCCACACTGTAACTTTACTGCTTAACAGAGAGGAGAGGTGCTTTCCCTTTCTCCTTGGGAACAGCCTTGCTTGCTTCAGCTGGTCCATTCACTGTTTCTCACCTTCACTGTGAAAACCCATCCCAGGAACAAAAATCTCTACCAGTTACAAGCAACTTTCAGAAGCAAGCATTTCCAAAATAGAGATACTTGTAATTCAGAATAAACACTTATCATTAACAGTTTGGGTTATGGGTGGAAAACAGAGGAGGCAGGTGAGAAAAGGTGGCTGGTGCAGCTTTTTTCTAAAAGGTGGTCCTTTAAAAAAATCTGATTGTGGCACTGAAACCCTCATGATGGAAGAGGTGATTTCAATAGAGAGCATTTTAATCCCATTACATTTCCCATTGCTTTATCGTGATGGGACCACCCCATCTAGGTCCAGTGAAGCATCTGAATGTCTATATTGGATAGCGATAGAGCTTCTGCAATAGCATTAGCCTTGCACCTTTTAAAGTATGCCTTTGACACAACACCCTTCTGAGCAGCTTGCCAAGGTGCTTCATTTCATACTTCAGTGGTTAGCAAAGTGAAAAGCTTTCTCTCCTTCACAGAGTAAGAATATCTGTCTTCTCTGTGAGGTGGCCTCTGAGAAGGCTGCCACCGATATTCCTTATTCAGAGTGGCAAAAACTCTTTCAGTCTTTCAGTGAACTCTATATTTATTACTCAGGACATGGGGTAAAGGTGTATCTTTCTTTGAGATGTATATTTCTCCTTGACACTACCAAGTCATGCATACTGTTTTTCCATTGACAATATGCTTTTATTTTATGTTGTGGCCATAGTTGTCATTATTATGCACAAAATTTGGATTTAATATCTTTTCAAGGCAACTTTTCATTCAGAGAAAGATATTGACTACTAAGCTTTTCCCTGTATTCTAAACGCCAAGGGGACTAGAATTATTTATTAGCCTCTGGCATGCTGCTTTGGTTGTGGCTATAAATACTAAAGATTCATTCTATTCTTTGGTCCATGAACCACAAATTCAGGCATGTGTGCAATATGAAAGTCCTCTTGCAACCGAGTTATTAGATTGTCTCTTAAAATAGCTACTAATTCAGTCCCTTTGTCTTAAAACACATTTGTTTGTAGGCAGTTATTCATTCCTTTAGTTTTAAAGTGTAATTTCTCACATGCATGATATTTATAACCCCAACTCTAGTTGCAGTTGCCTATTACAAATGTGACAAAGCTCAAGGCAGGAGTTGTGTAAAGTTTGCCCTTCTGCATGTAATTGTGGAAAATAAATCATGGGACTTCTCAGACTACAACACTTAAAACATGCGAGACATTTGCTATTTGGACTCCTGCTTACAGGGATGTACCACCAAAATCGATGCAAATCAAATCAAGAAAGAAAATCTGCTTCTGCCCCCCTATTTCACGCCTACATTTTAGTGAGTCATTTTAAAGCAGCTGCCTTGTACTTTTGAAGTGGCTTTGTTTTAATAACCCTTGCAGGGGTACTTATAATCTTCATCTTTGAAGTTTCCTTGGCTACATCATGATTTTATGATTTGGAACTGAAGAACTATTTTGTTATTGTGGGTGTTATAGACTAGCTTGAGACTTGTTTATGCAGTTATGGATTTGCACAAGGTTCTTGCCTGCTTGTTCTAGGCAATGTAGAAAAGACATTTCAGGATAGTTGTTCCACAAGTACTTGTTGGGTACTTTTGGCCATTCACTTGCATCTGTTTCCAGAATAATACTGCCAGGGTTCAAGCCACATAATGTATCCTGGTCTGGCACTAGTTTGTGGATTTAAAAGCATGTCCTTCTCAGTTGTTTAGGGCTTATGCTCATCTACATGTGAGTAGGATGTAGATGGCTTACTCTTTTAATTAAAGCACTACAGGACTCTTAACTATAGGGCACAGAGCTTGCATCCTAGTTAAATTAAATCCTGAATATTATTCTGCTAACCTTACATGTGCTTTTCATGTTTGACTCCCATATATTTAATGTTGGTGTACAGCAGATTTTTATAAAATAGATTTCTGTAGACACACTTGATACCTTTCCATGGTTGGCCATTACACATGCAGAAATATGTTTCTGGATTGTGGGAAATATGTAGAGAATCAATTTATGTTCACTGCAGCTTACTGAGACTGTACCAAGAGGCAATGGCTTATTACAGTATGGATGCTGGAAAGAATAATAGATAACTTCTAGACTGTTATGGATCATGTAACCGTCAAACTCTAGTCCATATTATTCCAAAATCAGTATTTTCAGCTTGTTCTCCAAATATGAAATAATTACTTGGCTCAGAGAGCATGTGGGTAGCACAGTGACAATAACAACAGAATAACAAAGTATAATTATATTGTAATTGTATTGTATATTCAGAAAGCAGAGTGAAAACAAATACACCCACAATGAATACAAACTATGACAAAACAACTACCAAACATGAAATCATGACTGAACTGATAATGTTAATGTGTATATAGTGTATGTAATAAAATATTCTTATTAGTAGTAGTTGTTTTCTTCATAGGCTGCCTTTCCTCCGATAATGGGATCCAAGGCTGCTCACAATATTAAAAGAATAGAATTAAAAACATTGTAAGTTAAACATTAAAAAACTAATTAAACTATACACTAATCAAAATACAACTGAATAATTTAAAGCAAGCAAATATTAAAAAACTATCTACAGATAAGCCCCCCTCTCTCTGTGGTCACTAAATAGATAATTTTTGTGCTCATGCAGTCTTTTCTGAGCATGCGGTGAAGACAGTCACATTTCACAGCACCAACATCACTATAAAATTGTTATTTGTATTCCAAATGTGCTTTATTTTTCCACCAGTGGCCAATAAGATGCCCTGTCTTGGGAAGATCACAAGTAGGACAGAACAACAATATTTGTCCTCTCTACTTCATTTCCAGCCAAATCAGAGAGACACTGTCTCTTTACCTGCAAAGTGACTTCTAGCTACAACTATAAATCAGAAATCTCAAGTGATATATTACAATTTTCATTGTTACTTTGCAAATTAATTCTAAATAACTTTGGCATGGAGCATGGGGAAGAGAACATGTGTAAGGTTCCATTTTTCCCCCAGTATGCTTTCCATAACTGTGAAAAAAGAACAAGGTTAAGGTCCTTATCTCCCTTTTTTCATGGGGGTGCATATGGGTGATGTGCGGGAAAATCACTTGCTACTTTTTCTGCTTACCTGCAGAATCAATGCATAGCTAGAATTAGGCTGCTGCAAAAAGAAGATGTTTAGATGTATAGGAAGAATATTTTAGGAAGGACATAAATGGACATGAGTGGAAAGAGATATTCAATTCTTTTTCAGGATGTCACAGCACAGTTATTTGGTGACAGCATCATTTTAAGATAAACATTTTGAAATGCCATTTCACATGGTGTGCAAAAACCTATGGAATTTATTGCTGTGATATAGAGCTAATAGGAATCTTTTCTGAAAGAATAGATGAAAAGCCAATTAATAGTTGCAGTTAGAAGTCGCCCTGCAGGTAAAGAGACGGTGTCTCTCTGATTTGACTGGCAATGAAGTAGAGAGGGCAAATATTGTCCTTCTGTTCTACTAATGATCTTCCCAAGACAGGGCATCTTATTGGCCACTAGTGGAAAAAGAAAGCATATTTGGAATACAAATAACAATTTTATGGTGACACTAGTGCTGTGAAATGTGCCTGTTGTAATGTCATGAGCTCAGAAAAGACTGCATGACCACAAAAATTATTTAGTCAGTGTCCATGGAATGTGTGAAACTTGCTTGAGAATCCTAATCAAATGCAAACAGTGATTAATTTGATATTCTATAAAATTAACTCCAGTTTAGGCTTCCTTGCAAGGATGCAAGGAAGAAATCCATGGTACAGATTTGTCTTTAAATTCTTGGACCAGTTGAAATGGAAGAGGGTAAAAAGCAGAATTGGAACTGGAACTGCATAAGAAATGGAACTACAAAATTATCTGAACATCTGTGTTTCACTGAAGAGTAGCGCAGTGAAAATTGTTGACACAAATCCCAGCTGACATGTATGAGCATTTAGCATGATAATGGTTCTGCAGAAACTCACCAGCGAAGAAAGGAACCTAGACTGGTTGGGAGAGCTGGCAACAGACACACACACACAAAAAGGCTACACTACTAATATACAGAGAGCTCCCCCACTGCAAAAAACAAAGCAAAATACATT